TTTTCTTAATTTTGATGAATTAGATAATTGAGATTCATATATATATATATATATGAGGAGGGATCCTTTTACTCCGGGAGTAAGTCTACCTAGACTTATTACGTTCAATAACTCATGTTCTACATCAAATTTTAACTCAATTTAAAGTTCTTAATACATAGATCAAATCTGCAAATTTTTAGAAAATTTAAAAATTATTTGATACTTCATTTCATTAATTCAAATTGACAGATAATAATAAAATCATTTTATACATTGATTCAAATTAATGAAACGAAGTATCAAATGATTTTCAAATTTTTTAAAAATTTGCAGATTTGATCTATGTATTAAGAACTTTAAATTGAATTGAAATTTAATGTAGAACATGAGTTATTGAACGGAGTAAGTCTAGGTAGACTTACTCTTGAAGTAAAAGGAACCCTTCTATATATATATATATTAAAGGCCAGCGTACTTCATTGCATGTAACTAATAATGACTTGAATAAACCAAATGAATATTTTGCTTGGACAGAAAGATCAACAACCCAACAATCATGGAGTTTTGAGGCCATTCATCTCAACCAGTTGCTCTTTTATGGTAAGATATTTGTGAAAAATATTCACATTTGGGGACTCTTCTATAGCCGTTCCCAAGCAATAACCTTAATCAAAATAATTTTGATATATTTATTATGTGCTTGAAAGATTTTTGAGAGCCATGCCTTCCTGGTAAATTAGAAGACAGTGGCATAACAAGGTGTTTAACCGTGGCCCCGTGGGTCTTATCGGGTCAATCTGGGCCTTGATACATGGGTGCATAGAAAGCCTGCGGAGGAGGCTGTGGAGTGTGTGAGTGGGTTTTTGCTATTCTTTATATTCGGGTCCAAAGCCCAAACTATAAATTAGAGGTGCTTTTTAATTTTATGGTATATATTAGTACACTTGTGGGCTGCAATAAAGGCACCGCTGCAGTGGGGTTCACATGCATTGTCTAGTGTGTACTTCATTTTTTCATATTTTAGAAAGAAGGAATTAATTATCTTTTTTTGTGTTTGGACTTTGTTGCCTCAAAAACAAGAAAAGAATTTCCAAAATCCACTGTTGTCTTGGCTGCTTGTATGGGAGAAATCATGGAGGATTCATCCACTACCGGCCATCACAACGAAAGAAAAAGAAGCAGTGACAACAACGCTTTTGCCAAGTTTGTTCCTTTTTCTCCACCATTAGGACACGACTCTGAATTACAGGAAGCTAAATTTGGTGGTCACCATGACCATGGCCACAAGAGACTCAAGCCAAATTCTGAATTTCCATTAGAAACCACAACATTCTCTTATTTTCCCAAACAAAACATTGGCACAATGGAAACACCGGACTTTTCCTCTCCATCAACTTCCATTAAGTATTCAGCTAACAGTGGACCATCACCACAATCCATTGGTAGCAAGTCATCACACATCGAGTATGTGGAGAATGATGGGAAAGCTGGGAAAACAGTCTCAGATAGTGAGTTCTAACACCCACTTTTTCTCTCTATATGGAACATTAATATGTGTCATAAACTATCATTAACTCCCCATTCACTCTCTTTATATAAAACATTACAAGATATCATACACCTTCAATAGCAGCCCATTTTTCTCTTCATATGAAACATTAGTAGATATCTTATACCTTCGTTAAGCCTCAAACTTATCTTCATATTAAATATTTTAAGTGCAGTTCTTTAGTGTTTTTAGTGTTGTATTTCAATTAAAATTAAAATTTCATCTCAGTAATAAGATTAAACTTTTTTTGCACGTCAATCTGTGTAACTTATAAGGTGAAATTCTAATTCTAATTGAAAAAAATCAAACGTATCCTAGGAAAAGTAGCTAAAGTTTGGCATTAGATATCTATAACACCATTAAATCATTAATATATGTTTGCATTTGCTGTGCAGGTTGTTATTGGAAAGAAGTTAAGAATCAGAGTGAGCTAGAATTAGTGATGTCTATGACAGCTGAGGAACTATCAAAGAGGCCTAAAACCGGGGGCATCTACAAAGCAATTTCGTGTCAAAGAGATTGCACTGTGAAACGTTTGAAAGATTTGTCAAATAAAGAGCCTTCAATAGATGTTGGACTTGAGATGGCTGATGCAGCACATCTTTTGAAGCTTATGAGCTTCTCAAGCAATGAGATCGAGATGGCAGGGCAAAAGGGTCAGAAAGGAGCTATGTTGTTGCTTCAAGCAGAGATCCTACAAAAGAAAGGACAGGAACTCATAGCTGAGTGCCAGAACTTGCTGCGGGATACGCTATAACTTGTGGCATTTGGAGCTTAACAGTGGTTCTGTGGGTTGATGAGATGGTTACAAGTTCATGGCTTAGTTCAGATCTCTCTGCCATCAAACTAAGCCTTTCTGCTATTTGGTTTGTGCTAAAATGGATGTATTATGTGCATGTTTGGATTACTTGATCCAAATCGCTTGAAATATTAACTTGATTTTAAATAAAGTTTCACATTGATTTACGTGGAGGAACTTAGTTTAAGTCTAAAATTGATCGAGTTAAAACAACTTTTAAGTAGATTTTTTCTATCCATGGGAATAAACATGGTACTAAAAAATTTTACAACACTTGTGCACCTTGCTCAATTAACTAGTTATGTTGGATAAAATATTTTATTCGAAGTTTACTCTTAATTTTCTTTTAAAATAAAAAAATCAAAACATAAATTGCTTTGCTTTAAAATAATTTTTAACAAAAAGAATTCTGCCAAATTAATTTTGAAAATATTTGTTTAAATCCACACTATATCTTTCTTTTTTGGTTGGGCTTTTTTTTTTCTGGAATAAATTAAAAAATAAATTATTTTTTAAAATATTTATTTTAATAAAAGTTTACCAAAATAAATTGTTTTGGATGCGTTGTCAAAGTATATTGGTATTCGATAGTTAAATGTACGCCTTAACTGAAACTTAATACCACACCACAAAAATAGCAACTGAGTGATGAAAGGCTTAAAGCTCTTCGCTTTTCAGTGCAAGTGTGAAATCTGGTATGAAACAATCCCTCAGTCTGTCTGTGGTAGCTACTAGGCTACAAGCTAATGTGGCAAACAAGTTTTGTCGTTGACGCTTTTGATGACACAATCTTGTGTCTATCTTTATTCACGTGCTAAGCTATTGCTACTGCATTAACACTATTTGCACAAAACTAAACTCAATAATTGTATATTAAATTAAATATATTTTCAACTCTCATTTTTTCTTTTTAATTTTCACTTTTAATCTTTAAATAAAATTAGTTTTCGTCTATGAAATTTTCCTTCATGAGCAAAATAATCTTGATGTTGGAATCATACCGGAAAGAAAATTTTATGTACCAAAGTAAAAATCAACAAAAGTTTATAGACTAAGTGCTTGTTTGGTGGTCCATCAGTAATTCATGTTTCTTCATATTTTCACTTCCTTCATGTCCAAAATACCAAATTGATGAAGAAACAAGTATTTGTTGCTTCCAATTGACCCATGTCATAATCAAACCAGCGCAGAACCAAACAAATCTAAAACTACTAAAATTAAAAGTTCAACAAGAATTTAAGAACTAAATACATATGTAATGCTTGTATATAAATAAAAGAAAGTTTATCTTGCTTCCTTTCACTTTTTGAGCATTGGTACAAGATTTCTGGTGTAAATCACGGTAATAGTTCCACTTGATAACAAAATTTACTCAGCCACGGGCTGAATAATAGGTTTGCATAATGGTAAGAGCAAGCAGCACTGCAGCTACCACAATTCCTATCAATTTCCACACATTGGGGATATGATCTGTAATCAAGATTTTATAGCTGTGTTTGCAAGAGTATCTGATGAATTCTACACAACGGTTGCAACAATGCCACATCAATATAGGAAACTTCTTCAAAGGGTTCACTGCTGAGTAAGCATTCAAGTCCTCACAAAGTTTAGTGTAACTAGAGTCCATTTGGTCCACTCCCTTTGTGATTGTTACAAACAAAGCGAGCAAATCTCTGTTGCTGATCTTGGTATCTTTCACCAACACACCATTGTCCACAAGCAGCTCAATATCTTGCAAGGAACACATCAAGCCTCTAAGAAACAAAGCATAGGAAGTGAATTGCCTGTTGATACCAATTCTGCTTTGTTCCCATGCAATGAAGTTCCTCAAATAGACCTCAGTTGTTTCAACTACATGCAGTGGTGGGATTTCAAGCACCCCTTTGGAAAATCTTATGTCAAAGCCAAACCAGTTAACCAGCTTGGTGTGCCTATCCACTTTCCTAATTGTTACTCCAGCAGCTCTAAGCCTTGTGGCACAACGCTTTAGTTCTTGCTGAGAATGTTTCACCTTCTGCCCCTCGTCAACAATTGAGGACAAGTGCATGAGATGAAGAAAATGTGCCACACTAGGACAACGGATCAAAGGGTAGCTGAAGAGAGAAAGAGTGAGATCAGCAACAAGGTGATCTGCCTCACCTGTGAAGACTGTGGGAAAAAGTATCCTAGCCAATGTTTTGAGAACAAAAAAGGGAAGTTGGTTCTCTAGTAGAGTGAAATCAGTGAGAATAGATAAGAACACATCTTTGTGTCCTAGAATTGGATCTGAAGAATAATCATTGTGGCCATCTTCTTTTGGAATTTGAGGTACCATATTTGGTGGAGCACATCTAAAGAGAAGTTCCAACAAAAAGGAGCCATCAAGTAACATTATTTTGGCTAACTCATGGGGTTCATATTTGATGTTACCTCCATAGCTTGCACGAACTGCATCATCCAAGCCTAGAATCACTGTGCCACACTCATCCAAGGTTGAAACTGGATTTTGAGTTCTGTGAAGAAGAGCCAACATATAGCGCCATTTATGCTCTTCCATGGCCAGAAGGTGGCTCCTGCTTCCTCTGTGTAAGGGTCCAATGCTTACAAACTTTGGTGAGTAAGCTTCCTCGTTTGATTTTCTAAGCTTGCTTGAAACACTTGGGATGCTGCTTATGAAGGATTTAACCTCTCTGTGATCTAGAGATCCTAGTGTCACTTTGATAGAATGCATCCAGCCAGACTCATTTTGAGTTTGGTCCATGATTGGTAAGAAATGAAGGATGTGAATATGGGAAGTAAATGCAACTTGGGAAATACTCAAACCAGAAGGGTAGATAAGGGTTTGCTGAAACAAATCCAACCTAAAATTAAATTTTATATGGGAAAACTCTGATTGAGTGATTCTGCTTAAAATAATTAAAAAAAAATAACAAAAAAAACTCTGATCCTGGTTGAGCTTGCTTTAGCACTGCCGAATGTCTAAAGTTGGATCACCCTTTAATGTAAAAGACTGAAACATAACGTTATTTATTGGCTAAAACCCTATTTTGGTCCTTTATATTAATTGTTTGTTTCAATTTAGTCCTACTTTTATTTTTGGTTTCAATTTGGTCCCAAACTAATTAATTGGTTTCAATTTAGTCCCAAATTAATTAATTGGTTACAATGTGGGACTTCCGTCCAAATTATTTAAACGGAGTTAACTTTTGGCCACGTGGATGCCACGTAGATGCATACGTGGATGCCACGTGGATGACAATTTTTGGCTAAAAACCTATTTTGGTCCCTTATAATAATTGTTTGTTTCAATTTAGTCTCATTTTATTTTTCATTTCAATTTGGTCCCAAATTAATTAATTGGTTTCAATTTGATCCTAAATATATTAATTGGTTTCAATTTGGGACTTCCGTCCAAATTATTTAAACGGAGTTAACTTTTGGCCACGTGGATGCAATTTTGATCCCTCAAGTATTACAATTGTGCAGTTTTGATCCCCAAGATTTTAATTGGGTAATTTTAAAACATTATATATAAATTATTAATTTTTAATGGGAGAAACTAAAATCGTACTATTATGATATTCGAGGGACTAAAATTGTTCAATTAAAAATTGAAGGGCCAAAATCGCGCAATTGCAATTCTTTAAGGACTAAAATTACCCAATTAAAATCTTGGGGATCAAAACTGCACAATTGTAATACTTGAGGGATCAAAATTGCATCCACGTGGCCAAAAGTTAACTCCGTTTACATAATTTGGACGGAAGTCCCAAATTGAAACCAATTAATATATTTGGGACCAAATTGAAACCAATTAATTAATTTGGGACCAAATTGAAATGAAAAATAAAATGAGACTAAATTGAAACAAACAATTATTATAAGGGACCAAAATAGGTTTTTAGCAAAAAATTGTCATCCACGTGGCATCCACGTATGCATCTACGTGGCATCCACGTGGCCAAAAGTTAACTCCGTTTAAATAATTTGGACGGAAGTCCCACATTGAAACCAATTAATTAATTTGGGACTAAATTGAAATCAATTAATTAGTTTGGGACCAAATTGAAACAAAAAATAAAAGTGGAACTAAATTGAAACAAACAATTAATATAAGGGACCAAAATAGAGTTTTAGCCTTGTTTATTCAAACTTGAAAGGATCTAGGAACAGTCAGAGAATATATTTTTATTGGGCTTGTAGTCTAAAGTCATAAAGAGGCTTAAGATTTGAGAAAAAATCTTTTAACAGACATGATTTATCAGGTTGTGTTTTAAACATATAAATCATGTGAAATGAATGGAAATAATTTTGAAAATAAAAGTAATTTAATCGCGACTTCCCTAACTTAATACATATTAAATAACAATTCTAGTTGTTGAACTTGTAATCTAGAAATACCCTTTGTAATATGTAAACAAGAGAATAGTTGTTGCAACTACAATTGCACATTGACCAATTCTTATTCATGTATAGGCTGTCCCTGTCCACCACTATCTGTCTTATCTTTCTAATTTTGACGTGTTCTTCTGAAAAGGAAAGTAAATTTTGTTTACAACCTATACCGTTTGTCTTTAGAATAGCACCTGTTCAATAATTTAGGGAATGAAATTATGTTTGTATTAAATGTAAGAATGAAGACGTGTTGAGGGAAGCTTCCCACAAATTTTATTGTTAGTTACTGCTGAATTTCTGAGATGATTTCATTGGTGTGACATAATGGTCATGACCGGCAGATGAGGTCCTTTGATTATAACATAATACCAACCGAGTAGAAAATTTTCACACTATTATAAAATATACTATTTCTTAGTCACTGATCCATGTTCTGGAATCACCGTCGAGAAGCCGGTAATATTAATAAATTGATAAATAAACATGTTGCTACTGTAATGAAAAAGAAAAAGTAAGGGTACAACAAATAAATAAAGTGGGGCTCGAGAAAGTGAATAAAGCTGTAGACAACTTTTCAGTTAGAGTAATAAAGTCCCTTGATTGATGGTAGATGAACCCAGCTACTTCAATTTATTCTTTCACAAATCTGTAAAGTTACAAAATCTACGATCCTTATGTGATCTATGCTTATGTAAATGTTTAATATTATGTAAGTAAAGTGGCCTAATAAATTATATATGTATGTGTTTACATACCAAACCATAATTTTCCATATCATATTGCCACCAATTTTGTCAAGAAGGCCTCCAAATCGGAAATTTGTGTCTTCGTCCTGAAGCATGGAAGATCATGGACCGAACCAAAGGAAAAGACACAATGCTTTTAGTGGGTTCGTGGATAAACCACTTGGTTATTCTTCTGGTGAAGATGGCCATGATTCCAAGAAGCTTAAACCCAATTCTGAAGCTCCTTTATCAACCATAGACCAACAAGTCCCTGCCGTACCCCTCCCCAATATATTGGTTTCTGCTTTCAAGGAGAACACCACAGGTTCTGTCAAATTTCAGCTGTTTGTGAGCAAATTTTATAGTTCATCAACTTCCACTTCCCCTCCACCAGGTCAGTTTTCATCTTAATGAATTATGTTTTGGTGGATCACATAGTCATCGATCTAATATGAAAGTTGGAGCAGTATGCATAAAGTCTTAAACTTAAGTCTTATTGTCCTACTTGTAATTCTGATAGATAAAAGAAAGTTAAAAGGTCCAGCTAAGATGTTGGAGAGTATTATTGAATTGATGAATTTGATCACATAACTTGACTAGTTATGAAACATGTCTTCCCTTGACTCATTATGGTGTTTTTACTTTGAGAAAACATTTTCTGTTTTCACTTTTATGAACAAAACTGTTGCGTGTTTCTAATTTATTTTTTTTGTTTACAAAGATATGTATGGTAGTCCAATTTTCCTGTTTCCTGTTGCCTTGAATTCAATTTAACACTCGACTTTAGCTTTATTTTCCATGAAAATTTCATTTTCCTATAGCTATCCATATTACATAATGAGCTTGTGACTGGAATTGCAATTTTCTTGGTGGTGCAGTATACACATTGAAAGTCACAAGTGCTTCAAACACCAGTACAGAAGTTGAACCTGCAGGGAACATAGCTGATGGTGGAGTAGCACCAGTGTTGACAGAAACGAGACTAGTAGCTGAGGGCCAATTTATGCTACGCTCTCGACTCTAATATCAGCTATGAAGACTTCAATTTATTTGACTTTGTTAAAGCCACAAATGTGGTGTTTCTCCAAGTTGCATCCAAAAGGCTTGTGCATGCTGCAATATTTTCCAATCCATACAAACTATTACACGTCCAGTTTTTCCAATTTTTGCTTTAATTTGTAGAAGTCATATGGATATGTATGGACTTAGTAATATTCTGTTATCATATCAGCTTATATAACTTATAATAGTCCATTGAAATGCATTGTCAAATTTACATCTACCGTTATTAAAATCAATGTGAAGGTATTGACCAACCAAATGAAATATCATTTGGATTTTCATGTGTGGCTCCTAATCACTGTAGCTCCATTCAAGCAAGGCACACTTTAAATAACAATATAACATTTGATGAAATATAAACAAAGTCCCACCTTTAAAAAAGAAGAAAAATATGATTTTTATAAAATATACACATGCGAATTTTTGGTGATAACTAAAATTAAATTTAAGATTTTAACTCTAAAGTAAATAATAGGGTTGACTCAATATATTATTAGACTTAAAATAAATCTTGAGATTTTTAAAAAATTAATAATAATATTTTTTGATAAAAAAACAAAAATATTTTAGATATGGATCTTGAAAAAATAATTAGATTTATATATTTTTTAGAGATAAATTTTTTTAAAATGATTTTTTAATAATGTGAAAAGCAAAAGTGAATTTGAAGTTATGAAACTTTGAAAAAAAAAATTACAAATATTAATATATAGAGTAAATTATACTCGCATTTCCTTTATTTTTTTAAGATTGCACTCAATACTTTTTCATAATTTAAACTTATAATAAGACTTCTTATAAGTTGGATAAATATTACACTTTCCTCTTCTAAACTCAAAGATGGGTATCATGTGACTTGTATATGACTTTTAATGAAAAATTCTCCCTAAAATATTCTAATCTTCTCCAACTTCACACCCTCCACCTCCTTAACCACATCATTCTCACTCCCACCCCCACCCTCTTCCCCTTCATCAATACCTTATTGATAATCCCCTTACTAATAAGTAATTTGTATTTTTTTTATGAGCAAGAAATTGCATATAAACAACCTGAATTTTTTTTTCCTTCATTCGTTGTGTTGTACACTTGTAGAATTTAGCTTACTAGATAAACATCATTATCTATAAATTTCTTATTTTTAGTTTTTAGTGGTTAAATAGACAATTTTTAACACATGATTGGTATATTTGAGATTTTGTTTGAGTATTTGTGCTATTTATCTCATAACTTTTTTAGTGGCCACTATTTTTGCAACTTATTACATGCACAATAACATCTTTGACATTCAATTTGTTTTATAGCTGACTAACTATGTTTTTTTTTTTCATTATGTAGATAGCCACCAAGGTAACAACAACTTGATATGGTGTTAAGCTCTACCCTTTTTTCTTGGTGCCATCTAATTGGACAGGGTGCTTAGGAATGATGAATAATTATGAATCTCTCCTCCCGAACAAGAAAACTCTTTTTGATATTCATTGCTCGTACTACTACTGCATATCTAACTTCATTATTGTTGTTTGTTGTTGTTGAAATTGTAGTTGATGGAAGCTTTATTGGGGTGATAATATTGTTGGGATGCAAACAAAGTCTCACATCGTTCAAACAAGAGGATGAACATAAGTTTATATACACATGATTGTCTCTATTGGTTATAGGCCTTATGAGTGATGTCTAAAAGCAAAATCGTAAGAATTTACGCCCAAAGCAGATAATATCTTATCATTGTGAAGACGTGTGTGTGTGGTCACCCCTAGTGCACAACAAGTGGTATCAAAGTTGTTCGTTTGACCAGGTGACCAGCTCAACGATTACAATGGATTTGGCAGGTGGATTTGGATAGAAGATCCCTTATATCGAAAGTCTTCCTAATTGTGGGTCTAACATGGATGGTCAGGAGGCGTGTCTCGCTAGTATGAATTCACGATGGAAAGAGGTAGTGCAAGTACTTAGAATATGACTAAGCTCAAGGGGGATAAAATTATAGTCCTTTGTTTGAGGGGAGGATTGTTGGGATGCAAACAAAGTCTCACATCATTCATACAAGAGAACGGATATGAGTTTATATACACATAGTTGTCTTCATTGGTTAGATACCTTTTGGATGATACCCAAAAGCAAAACCGTGAGATTTAGGTCCAAAACAAACAATATCTTATCATTGTAGAGACGTGTGTGTGCACTCAACCCTAGTGCACAACAAATGCACTAAGTGTTGCATAATAATACCTTTTGCAAAAGTTCTGCTATTTCCTTTTACTATTTTTTAGGAAACAAAACTTGATTAATAAAGCTTCACCAAGAGATGTTGGCTAAGGGGAATCGTGTGCATGTGTGGATGAGGATTGTGTGGTTAAAGAGGTGGAGGGTGGGAAATTGGAGAAGACAAAGATATTTTAGGAAGAAAATTTCATTAAAAGTTATGTACAAGTCACATGACACTTATCTTTAGGGTTAGGAGAGGTCTTTATAAAAATTATTCAGCTTTTAAGAGATCTTACTGTAGGTTTAAATTATAACGGAGTATCATATGCAATTTTAAAAAATACAGAGAATGTTAGTGTAATTTACTCTAATATAAAGTATTCTTTTTAAGGGAATTTAAAGAGAGAGCTTTGTTAATCTGGTACTTGGATCGACCTTGATGAATAATTTCATATCAATATCGGGAGGTATGTAAATCTCTAATGTCGCATGAAGACAATTACAGTATAGCCCATTAATATCCTCGTATCTGTAGAGATTTTTTAAGTGAAAAGTAAAATGTGATTACATGGAAGTTAAAGTACATTTAGAAAAGGCATATATGACATAATTGATGGATTAAGGTTCTCCATAGTTTATTTTAAATGGTAGGGAATGTTTAGCCTTAAAAAAATGTTTCTACTTTAAATCTTGGAAACTAATATAACCTCATATTTTAACAATTAATATATTAGTTATTTATAATTAGTTCTAGATGTATCAGTTAAGAATATGACTTTGTAATCTCAATAATATGTTTCTCTATCAAATATGAGAACTACTAAAAGAGTAGTTATGAAGCATTTATGAAACTACATTTTTTATTGCATAAACTAAAAAAGAAGACAATCTAATAAGAGTTGCTTAAATAGGATCATTAAAAAAAAAGGAAGATAGAGTTTGTTAATGAAGAAAGAGAAAAATCATGCACATTAAAGATTTATTATTTTTTATTTGAACAATTTGTTTAGTTTTATTTAGCATTTAATTAAAGCTAAATATAATTAGCATTAGAGGAAGTCTTTGTTTTTCAAAAATTAGAGGAATGGTTTGTATCACTTAGACAAACTTTAAGGGATGTCAATACAATTCTCACTTTAAAAAAAAACAAAAAAAACAAAAACAAAACAATGCTTCTTATTTTAAGCAAAATAAGTTTTGACAAGCACATAAAAAAAAATACTTATTTTTATTATAAAAAAACACTTTTAAACAAAAAGAATTTTTTAAACAAATAACAGACTCGTTTTATGCTCTCCATTCTCCAATATATCAAATGGGACAAATTGTTGAGAGGAAGTCTAAAATAAATAACGCACGAATCTTGCCTGTGGAATTTGTAATATATTTGCTTAATGAACAACATGGATCCCAAGCGGTATATAGTTGAAAGTTCATATATATTTTTTTATCTAATGTTGGCTCATATTTTAATTATAATTATATTAGCTATTTATTATATCTAATAGATTGTATAATAAGTTGAGTGATCTATTTAAGTGAATTTGTTACACTATAAAATGATAAGAAACAAGCCTAATGAATATATATCTTTATTGGCATAATGGAAATCTTAGTTATAATCCATAATATTCCAAATTGCATAACTATCTTTTTTTTTTTCACTTCACCTTATGAATTACAAAAATCTCATTTGAGGAGTCAATATATTTTGCTAAAAACTATAATATTATTGATTTATTATTATTATTATTATTATTATTATTATTATTATTATTATTATTATATGTCTTTTGTATTATCAAGGTGATCAATAGCTACTTAAGAATAGGAGTGACAAATGAATAGATTAGATAGTATTTTAGGTAGATCATAATAGATCAAATACAAATAATTCATTAAAAACTTACATGAAAATGTAATTCATTTAAAACCAAAAAAAATCATCCATTAGCAACTTTTTCTTTTTATGGATGGATATTTTTATCATCCGTAAAAGTAATCTTTTTAAAATTACATTTTTTTGGAATATTTTATTTTTCTCTTTTCTTTATAAGTCATTTTATTCTTATAGTCTTCTAAAATTTACAAAACTTTTTTTTATGTCAAAATAGTCTTTTAAATCTCAACATAATAAATATTTCATATGTTATTTAATGAATTCTAAAATAATGAATGAGTCATTAACCATCTATAAAATAAATGAATGAGTTGAGTCCGATTTATTATTTACTTTTATTATAATGGATAGATTGGATAAATTTATTAATAAATGAATCAGATAAATGATAAATAAATGGATTCATTTATCATCACACTCAAGAGCTGAGAATTTTTGATAAAAATAAATAATTATTAATTATTTAATAACTATAAATGAAGGTATCTGTTTGGATTTTTAATAATTTAGGTAGTAAATTATAAGACTTTTGGACAATTGTTCTAAGATATATATCTAGAAAATTCTGACTACATATGTAAAGAATAAATTATATTAAAAATAAGGGTCTATATATATATATAAAGTGGTGGTTGGAGCAAATATGTTGTATGAAAGATTTTGGACTGTTAGATTTGGACCGTGCCACCTGCTTTTTTTTTTTGTTATTTTTTTAAGGTTTGGTTCAGCTACAATTTTTGTTATTTGGTGTTGAAGTGAAACATCATTGTGTTCCATGCATTCAAATACTTTCCATGGCAAACATTTTTTCATAACTTAGAGAGCAATTTCATTTGTACTTTGTACGAAAGACTAACTCGTTGCATTGAGGTAATCATTATAGATGAGTTTACTTGTTTTTTAGATTAACTTTCTCTTAGCATGAATTATATCTACCTTATTTATCATCACCATTATTCAAGTCTTAACAATGGTTTTTGCAGTAATTTTTTTTTACAATATTTTAATACATTAACTTAAAAACCACTCATTACAAATACAAAAATTAATGATATATATATATATATATATATATTACTTCTTACTATTAAATATGTTTTAAAATAATTTAATTTAGAAAATTAGCTGCAAGGAGCAAGTATTCTCAAAGTATTAAAAATCTACTCTTTTTTTTTAGCTTCTATTTGTCTTGGTAAAGGAAATACTAGATAAAGTTTGACCTATATATAATTTTAGTTTCTCAAGTACATATTTATGCGATTTTAACCTTTCAAGTTTTAATTAGCAATTTATGTTTTTAAAGGATTGTAATTATATAATTTTAATCTTTTCATTTATAGAAAGTAATATCATTCATATTGCATACTTGAGATTTGAATTCAAAATTATTAATTAAGCTAGAACAATTTTATGTTAGTTAATTTACACACTTATTCGTGCGTTTTAACTCTTCATTAGTTTGAGAATTTAACAATTTTAATTTATGTCAATTTGATTGTTGTTTTCCAATATCAATACAATATTAAATATTGTTTCTCTATTATAACCTTAACTATTATTAATACATTTTTAATTAATGTGTTATTTTTCTTTTTCAATACTTATATTATTGGTGAGAATGCAAAAAAATTTAAAAATATATTAAAAAAATCCATATATATATGTTTTATGAAATTACATATATTAATTATATTTCTTAAATTTTTTGTCAAAATTTTAAACATCAAACAAAATAGAATCAAGCATCTAAGTATTGATATTGTTATTTACAAAGCCTAAAATGTAAGAAAATTGTTGCAATATACACTAATGCCAACTACAAGTCTACAATCACCTAACATTTATTTCCACTATTATCTTTACTACCCAGTTTCTCTCATCCATTTGGGCTTAGTGCCATTACGTGGTTTGCAGCAACAAACAATGTTTTGTTCAGTGGGCTCTTGCTACAAAAACCCCTAATCCACAAGGTGTAATTAATGTCCAATTCATAATTGATTTTCAATTGGTCCTTCACTTGTTTGATTTGACATTGAGAAATTAACTACAGACACAGTTGATTTTATGTTGGAGCAACTTTACATTGATTTTATGTTGGATAAAAAAATTTACACAGGGAATAAAAGCATTTTAAACATAAATTACATTACTTCATAATTAATTTTATTGTGGATGTTTGCACTATCCACTAAAACAGACAATTCAGATTTACCCGTACAATCCATAATTCAAAATGTTCAAGTGTTGAAATGAACCACAGGGGTGTGTAAGGACGTACAAATTAATTTAGGTTTAAGATGAAATAGTTAATGGATTTGAATCAAATGAACTTGAATGCCCTTCAGAAAATGGCAAGAAAACAGTTATAAATGGGAGAAAAACTAAGATCAGATTGTACAATTAGAATCATGAATTGGTATCCTAGATAAAATTTCTTATCACAATTGATCAGTTAAAATAAAGGCCTATACATGTATTAGAATATCAATCATTAACTTTTATGGACATTTGAATTCCTTTATTTTATCCTTATTTATTTTTAGATGTGTGGAATCCTATAATCATAATGCAATTGCAACTACAACTACTATTAAAATTTAAATTAAAAAAAAAAAAACGTACTCTAGCAAAATCTACTAAAATTTTATTAGAGAAAAGAATTCAAAAGATTTGGTTGTTCTACTATAGATTAAAGTAAAATAAGCAATTTAATTTGTTGACAAAAAAAATCATTGTTAATCTTTTACACGTGATTAATTTTTTAGTCATATTATTAGTGTGTAATATTATTCAATCTTGGACTTGTTTAAATAAACTTTTCTAAAAATAGTTTTAGGAAGACAAAAAAATGAAATAAGTCTCTTCGTGAACAAAATTTAGTTTATACATAAACTAATTTATAGAAACTCTTTCACATAATTCCTTCAAAAATTTACAAATTAGCTTGTGTGTAAACTAGTTTTATCTTATGAAAAAACTTGTTTTATTTGTTTCTTCATATTTTTTTGTCCAAAAATATTTCTAGAAATGTTTATTCAAATAAACTTTCTTGATGATTAATATTTATTGAAGAATCTGATTGATCATGTTTAGTGAAGTATTTCTATCCAATCAATTTTTTTTTATTTGCAATATTTAAACAGATCGACTTAAAAAGATCATGTTTAATTCTATTAAAACTAACTACTTGTTGTTGATATGTATATATAATTTATAATACATGTAATTTCACTATTAAAATTATTCATTTTACTATTTTAAAGTTATTCACTTTTTTAAAGAATTAAATCCACTTTCAAATTAAATAAATATGCATAAAATCCATCTTTCTTAAGTTGTTCAACCCACAATTAAATAAAGATGCATAAAATCCATCTTTCTTTAGAATCCGTCAAATATTTTTTTACCTAAGCTTATGATGCGTTTCTCTCACTTTTTTTTCTAGAATTACAACATAAAAGAGACAAAAAAAAAATAGACAAATCCAATCACATGAAAATACTAAAGCATAGGTTAATACATTATATATTATGAAATACAGTTCTTTAGGGTTTAGGTTAATATTGAATACTCAATATCGCACATGAAAAAGCAGAGCCAAAGGAACATAAAATGATACATACATCCCATATGAACTTACAATATATCCACACTCTAATTTTTTACTCAAAAAATATAGGTTACACTCTCTAATATATAATTTTTTACTATTAGTTAAAATTTATCAAAAAATCATAAACTTTTTAAATTTTACATTTTATTTATTGAACCTCTCTCCTTAAGTTTCAATAAACTTCCACCATTAGTAAAGAATATTGTACAGATTATCGCTTGCATTTTTTTTCTCCTCAATATGAATAAAGGAATCTAAAGGCTTGAGTAGGCGATTAGACAAAGTTCCATACACAACAAACGACTCCGGCAAAGTGACATATTTTGGAAACATGCAAAATAATAATGAAACCGAATTTATGAACAAAAAGAAAATAGAAACAAATTAGGTCTCACACTATCTCCAGACCAAAACAAAAAAGTGGGGAAGATACCAAAATGTACGTAATTTTAATTAGCTGATGCATTAATAGCAAAGGAATCATACACATTGGCCAATGGCAACACTTTTTTAAAATTTTAATAAACTAATCTTAAAGGGAAAAGAAAAACCTATATAGTGTAACAAGAGAAAGAAAAAGGAAAATGAAAACTGCAAAGCACAAGCAGCACACACCAAATGAAGGGGGAGTGTTACTAGATTAATTCCCCTTGCATAATACAAAATAGTAATTGGAGGGAACTGTGATTTGATTTGAGTTGAAGTGTATGATGTTGAGTGAGTTGAATTCAGTGATGATGGGGTGGTGGTGGGGACTTGCATTGGTAGCACTTAGCAAAGAGCCCAAATGTGTCAATTTGGTTAATGAAGTTGGACATGCTGGCCCATCCTCCAAACCCAAACCCAACCACCAAAACCCACACCACAATGAATGCATTCAAGACATACATTGCAGTCCAGCTTGGCACAAAGAAAGGAGGCTTCTCTGCAGCATTCTGCAAAACAAATTAAGTCACATAATTGTCCTAAGAAGGCCCCTACCACATTCTACATTAATTAAAAAATTCCCCAAAACATGATCATAATGATGGCAAATAGAATACAAAGTATTGTATGAATTACCTGTCTTGCAGAGGGTTTTCTGTAAGTGAGCATATGGGCCGCAGAGGGAATGACGTAGACTGTGAAAGTAACGAGCAAAGCTCCAACAGCAGAGTTAATGGGCCCAAAGAAAGGGAAGATAATGGCCAAAAACCATATGGGTATGACCACTGGCAACCTCACTAGTGCCCTCAGACAAAGGCTTCTTGTGTCATGCATCCCAATTACCTTCTCCCACACAAAGTACAGTGGAGTACACGCAAAACCGAATGTGATGAACTGCATGCATGCACCCATTCACTTTCACTATTAACATTCCTCCACCACACTCTTTTATTTTCTTCAATAACACCAACCACTGCATTTATTTTCTCTCTTTTCCTACTTTTCACAAGTATTCTAAGTAGTTGGGCTTTTAACAACATGCTTTTTTTAGATCATGCTACATAGTTTGTACACTAAAACACATTTTAATTATACTTGCCGGGTTAAAAAAGGAGTCCTTATTTTTTGGTTTAGTACTTCAATTAGTCTATGAATGTTTTACATATTTCCGTGACAGGTTTTGTGTTTTGCAAATACTGTACCACATGAAAAGTTAAATAAGCATCTACACTAATTATTACAATCCAAACAAGCATTTAATAGCATTTTCCTAACACGTAACTTCTAATTAATAAAACGTAAAACAGTATCAAAGGACTAATTTATATATATGCTCATTCAGCCGTGCAATAGTTTACCCTCTTAATCCAAAACACTAGCATTTCTAACTTAGCTAGTTAGAGTATTTCATAGAAATGGTTAAACTATGTAGCAAAAGCAAAATAGAAAAGAATGATTATATTAGATTACCTGGTGAATGAGCATGAGGATTACAGCAGCATCACGAAAACTATTTTTGGGGAGGAGAGCGAAGGCGTTGGAATGAGTGAGAAGTTGGTCACCAAAAGCCCAGTAAACGGCAGCAGAAGAAGGAAGCGTTAGTGTGAAAACGTACAAAGTGGCCAGCAAGTATATGTATTTGAACTTCTGTGGCTTCCACATGGCGTGCATAATCTCTCTGCAACCATTTTTCATGGAATCATAATAATAATGTTTCTCATTCTTTAAACGGCTAAATCAACTCAAACTAACTTCTCATTCTTTTGCTTCCATTGCCACTTTCTTTTACTAGACTAAAGGACACTGAGAGCCATCCACCAATCTTTTTTTGAAATGTTATGTTTTTGCATATATTTTATACATGATTGATGTGAAAGTCAATTAATAAAAAAAATATTATTAATATAGTTTTTTAAGATAACTATTATTAAAATTAACCATCATATTATATATTATATAATTTGTGATTAAATGACAGTTTCATATATATAGTAGTATTTACTAAAAATGTTATATAAAAAATTATAAGTGAGATAAAATATAGATGTTGATTATAAATAAAAAAAGCAGTAACATTTTAGAAATTTTTATGTATATTTATTGGGTGAATAATATATCTCAAGTATTTTTTTTGGAGGCTCTTAATTTGTACTTCTAAGAAGTTTTAAAAGCTTTAGTAATTATAATTAAAAAAAAAAGGGACAAAAGCAGCAAAACAAAAACCATTCGACAGTAGGATTTTCTTAGTGGAGACATTATTTAATTATATCTTAGTATGATAATGTTCTTACACTCTGTCTCATTAGTTAACTAGGACATCATTGTCTTTTAATATCTATTCAGCAACGGTGATTAACCATTATTAAAACAAAAATAAAGAAACAAACGTTATGATTGAAAAACAATGATGACATGTAACTTGGAACACCTAATGATACATGTAACTGACAATACACATCTTAAAACTTAATTTTATAATCTTAGTACTAGTAATAGTATCTCTTCCTTTTAATAATCTTTTTCAAAGATATAGAGGGGACGAGTGTACAAACTACAAAGCTTTAAATTATTAAAGGACTGTTAGAGAACCAACATGAACGAGGGATGGATGACGAAAGAAAATTTTTAAATCTACACTTCATTTTTTAGTATATTGTGGAAGAAAGAGAGGATAAAGGAAATATAACTCTGTCATGTCCTGTGATATTTAAAATTTATTGTATTCTCATGTTCAAAAATATATAAAATTCTTCTAGTTAAAGATAAGTCTCTAAAATCACTATGGCACAAGAAAGACATTTGTGTTTTATATATAGAAATTAATTATTCTTTAATTAGTTACTAATTTTCATTTAATATATATTTATACAAATTTTAAATATGATTTATTGATTTAACTATACTTTCATTTGTATTATGAGAATTATGCCAAAACATTAGAATTCATTAATACCAATTCTTATATTGAGAAACATTTTTCTCCTATTTTATTGATTTTCTTTCATCCATACTGGATACCCTTATTTGGTATACAACAAGATGAAAAATAATCTCGAATTGAGCTTTTACTCTGACAATTAATTTCAATATTTATCATTCTCAAGTTTATTTGATGTAAACTTTCTGGTTCTTGCCTAAGATAAAGTACGTGGTTGCTCCTAGAAACATTATTACTCTAATCACATTTTCTTTGACATCTAGAATGATCAATGCTTGATGCAGAAATATGATGCAGTTGTTGGTGATGTATCGATAGTGTCCGCACGTTATGAATATGCTTCATTCACTCAGCCCTATACTGATACAGGACTGGTGATGATTGTTCCTGTTAAATCAAAGACACGCAATAGAACATGGCTATTCCTGAAGCCTTTCACAATGCACATGTGGATTCTAATATTGGTCATCATTTTCTATAATGGCTTTGTTGTATGGTTGATTGAAAGAAACCACTGCCCTGAACTTAAGGGCCCTATTCTGCATCAAACCACAACGGTGCTGTGGTTGGCTTTCTGTTCTATGTTCTCTTTGAATGGTAACTTCATTATGCTTTATTCATCTATTTTATCCATCTAATTTCAATAACAACAGATCTCTAACTTCTATTATAACTTCAGTTGAGGTTTATGATGGTCTAGTTAATATTACTTGACAAAAACTAATATTTTCTTGAAGACTAGTTTTTGGAGGTGTTGATAATAGATTTACAAATATTATTTATGCTTAAAAGATGACTTATATTCTTTTAAGTTCTTTTTAACTTATTTTAAATTAGAATAAGTGTTTAATTAAGTTACATACCTAAATGTTGCCTTGATTCATATCATGTTGCCTCACACAAGTCATTTGAGCAAGGGATGATTGATTTGGGTAATCTCCGGAAAGTAATATAGGTTTAAACATCTGTGCCGCCATTTGATCCTGAAAGAAAATCATTTTAATTAAGAATACAGACAACAATAATCAAACTTCTAAAAATTTGGTGGTTGTGACTAACTAACAAGTAGCACCAGCAACTATCTCAGATAACATTACTTTGCATAATCTGCTGACACAGGGGGCAGGTTGCATAGCAATTTATCAAGGTTGGCAATGGTGGTCTGGCTTTTTGTGGCTCTAATCATTTCAGAGACTTACACTGCTAACCTTGCCAGCATGTTGACTGTTGAACAGTTTGAACCAACAGTTGACAGCCTTCAAAAGCTAAAGAAAAGCAATGCCACGGTAGGATGTGATACAGGATCCTACTGTGAAAGATATCTCCAAGATGCATTGGGCATGAATGCAAAAAACATCAAGCCATTTGATTCACAGGAGAGCTATGCTGATGCCCTAAAAAAGAAAGAAATAGCAGCTGTCTTCATTGATGTTCCTGGGTCCAAACTTTTCCTTGCAAAGCACTGTAAAGGGTTTGTTCAAGCAGGGCCTACATACAAGATTGGAGGATATGGATTTGTATTGCTTCAACATTTCTTTCACTTTTTTTTCCTTTATAAGTTTCTGAGTAATTGTATAGATTGAGGTACAACCAATCAAAAGGTTAAGATAAGCAGAATAATTTCAGCACAGAGATCAACACAAACTTTATTATTAGCCACTCTGCTTTTATAGCCATTCCCAATGCTGCTTCCACAGTTAAAACAATATGCAGGAGCAGTCTCTAAATGAGAATTTTTCATTAGTTTCCACACACTTCCATTTATCATTTGCTGGCGACTATTAAAAATACACGCCCAATACCCTTGTGTTTACATTTTGGGTTGTTTTTATTCCAAGTCCAGTTTTATTAAAATTAAAAAATATTTTAAAAAAAGATAATTAAAAAAAAATTGTGTGTGTCTGTGTTTTTTTAATTTAAATAAACAGGCCAATATGTTCAAAACTGGAAATGAGTTCAGCGACTTTCACTACAATTCTACAAAGGTCACCATCACACTCACCTGAATGATGAAGTAGGGGGAGGATAGTTTTTTATGGTTCTTAATTATTTTAAAAATTAAATAACTTTATGTTGAAAAAATAAAATATAGAATGCAAAACTCAAATTTTCGGAAGTGGCATCTATCTATTATCTGACCCAATAGTCGTTTGGATTTTGACCTGTTTGTTATAACTTTGTCTAGGTAGGGCACGCGTGTTTCTTTTTAATTTTTTTTTTTCACACAAGCTAGGGATTGATTTATGCTAGCTAATTAAAAACAAAAGGGAAAAGGGACAAAGAAATTAATGGCTAAGGAAAAAAAATACACTGTCAAATATTTTATTTATGCACTCATAATCTATATCTTACGTCTAATTAATAAATTAAATTAATTAAAAAATATACACATTTTTAAAATAATTGAATTATTGAGATTATTTGGTATAATACATATCCCAATTCCCAACTATGTTAAATGGTGGGGGCATATTTTAATTGATTTTCTTCATGTTATTTAGTAATATGATGAGATGATCGTATATATAACAGAGAAAACACAAATTTTATCGAATAGAAACCTGCCGTAATTAGTATAGCAGGATTAATTCATTAATTATATTTGATAAAATTTGTATCCTCCTCTTTTTAACATGATAACATAATAACAAAAGAATATTCAAATTTAGTAGATAAGTGTTGTATAAAAAATTTGGTAATAGATGAGTTTTGTTTAACAATTTTACTAATAATGCTTGAGTAAAGAGACTAAAATAAATTTTTTATTTTAAAATTTTAAAGATTAAGAAAATCGATTTGAAAATTGAGAAATAAAAACAAATTTATCTTATATTTGTAAGATTAAAAATATATTTAAACTTAATTGAGAAATAACTATAGTGTTGAAAAATAAATCAAACTTTTAATTGATATGGAGGGCCATCAAAATTGGACTATTGAAGAACTAGTAAAATTAATGATTAATTGATTGTGCATGGTAAGAGTAGGGTTATGATTCTTTTAATAGAAATGCCTTTTTTATATAAAAGATACAATGTCAACATTAGAGTTTAGATTTACTATTAAGGGTAATCATTCATAATTACTTTTTTTTTTTATTGATTGATGCATTTCAATTAATTTTTGGATTGCTACATATCATATTGATTCAATTGTGTGTATTTTAATTATTAATGTATTATTAATGGTTTGTTGCAATGTTGTTTAAGTTATGTGTATTTTAAATAATTTGTGGATTGGAAACATATTGATTCAGCTATAAATAATGATGTATTGGTAGTAGTTTGTTATAATGTTGATTAAGCTGTGTGAATTTTAAATAGAGGTGTGTGTGCAAGTGCACTTTCATGTAGTGATGTATTTTAAATAACTTGTGCATAATCGTCTTATTGATTCAGTTGTGTTTATTTTAAATATTGATGTGTTATTGTTGTTTTTTTTATATTGCAATATTGATTAAACTTTGTGTATTTTAAATAATTGTGGGTTGTTGTCATATTGATTTAGCTAAGTATTTTAAATATCATGTGTGTGCAATATATTGCTACCATGTTGTTAGTGTCTATGATCACTATTGATGGTGCTATACTTTTTGGATTGTCTAATATGGTGTGGCGCAAAAATCTTAGTAGTTAGGAGTAAAGAGCAATTTATTATATATACTAATGAGTAAATATTATCCATATTTTCCATTTTCTCCTTCTATGACTTGTTAACTTTATATAATAAAAATAGGCTATGATTCTATGAAAAAAGAGAAAAGGCAAGAAGAAAGAGAGAATTTTTGGAATTTAACTATGATTTTATGAATGTGTTTTATTCACCTTGTTTTTACTTTTTGCTATTCTTCATAGCTTTTTTCTATCTTTTAGTTTATTTTT